AAGAGCACAGGGGGAGGGGCAGAAGGAAAGGGAGAGAGAATCCCAAGCAGATTCCGTGCCCAGCACAGGGCACAATGTGGGACTTGATCTCACAGCCCTGAGATCACAACCTGAGCCGAAACCAAAATCAGGCACTTAACCGACTGCACCGCCCAGTCACCCAGACTGTATTTAATTGTTTCTCTTTATTTGAAAAGGATTTAACTACTTAATATTAAAATCTAGAACAGCTTTGCTGTTCACAGGTAAATCTTCAAAACTTCTTTTAAAATTCACATTTGAAAATTCATAAAATAAAAATTTTTATAACATTTGCTTTAAAGATATAAATGCTAGGGGCACCTGGGTGGCTCAGTCAGTTAAGCCTCTGACTCTTGATTCAGCTCAAGTGGTCATAAGATCAAGCCCCACACTGGGCTCCAGGCTGGGCGTGAAGCCTGCTTAAGATTCTCTCTCTCTCCCTCTCACTCTGCCCCTCTTCCTCCTCCCTTCCCCCTCTAAAAAAATAAATAAATGCTAAGAAACCATAATTATAATTACTCATACCCTGTTAACAGAATCATTTCTCAAAATCTCCATAAAGTTATCTTTAAGTCAAAAGCAAAAATTACTAAGAAGGAAAAATCAGGGGGGCACCTGGATGGCTCCGTGGGTTAAGTGTCTGCCCATGCTCAGGTCATGATCCCAAGGTCCTGTGATCGACCCCACACATGGGGCTCCCTGCTCAGTGGGGAATTGGCTTCTCCCTCTCCCTCTGCCCCTCCCCGCCACTTGTGCTCTCTCCTGCTCTAATAAATAAAATCTTTAAAAAAAAAAAAAGAAGGAAAATCAGGAAGACTTAAGAAAAATGAATTACCATATTTCATCAAATTAATGATGTCATTAATCATAAGTATTATTTTATGTACTACTGGGGGGGGAAAGAACTGCCAATTAAACCATGACATGCTATGGATTATAACTCACATCCTGATTTCAGAAATGTTAAAATATAACCAAGTTGTGTGCCTCAGAATTTATAAAAATGTGGTTTGTCATTCTCAAAGACAAATAGAAGTTATTCACTTATTTACCATGTATTAAGCAAAATTTAACTTATACAAATAAATTTTAAGTTATCCAAAATAAACTTGATATAAAAATAAAATGTAACAAAAAATTATAGACTATGAAACCGTAATTGCTAATGAAAACAATGAAATGAAGGCAGCCTTGGGAAACCTGGCTGGCTCAGTCAGAAGAGCATGCAACTCGACCTTGGGGTTGTGAGTTTGAGCCCCACCTTCAGTGTAGAGATTACTTAAAAAAAATAAAATCTTTAAAAAAAAAAAAAAAGAAAAGAAAAAAGAAATGAAGGCAGCCTTAAGAAATATCTGATTTAGTACATTTTAAAGGGCTTTAAAATATTAACTTTCAATTGGAGAATAAAACCCAAATAGCACAATTTTATTTTTAATATTTCACTTAAGCACATATCTGAATTAATATAGGTAAAATTAACAGGATCTGAATTAGTAACCTTTTCAGTGGTAAGTATAACTACATACATTGCTCAGAAACTCAAGGAATGCTAAACTTACCTTCACCTACAACCCCAAGGATCTCAAATTTATTCATCACATTACCAATGTTAGGAATCTTCATGAAGACAAACTCCTCTTTTGATGCAAGCCACAGAACATGGCATCAAGAAAGAACTTCTAAGAAAGTTGTGAAGTAGAACCAAAATGTCGAAGGAAGAAATTCTCACAGGTTGGCAGGGACTTTCACATATTTGTTCTAATGTGAAGTATTAAATGATTCCCTGAAAGAGAAAAGAAAAAAGCCATTAAGTTTTATATTCAGCACTCTAATAATCTATCCTATTATTTTGTACAGTTTTTTTAAATGTTAATGTTTCATATACTTAAAAAAAAAGAAAAAGAAAAATAGCAAGAGAGAAGAACCCAAAATGGAACAAAAACAAATGTACCTAACTGTATTTGAAATGAGTAACATAACCACATTGAAGCGGGGAGGGGGAGTCAGGGGGAAAAGAATTAACTCCAGGTAACTTTTGAAAACAATGTTTTAACTACACACTCTCCTCAAGCTAAAAACAAAAAAAATTATTTATAAACAAATACTATACTTATATACTTGTTTTTACACAGAGGTATGAAATTATGTGTGTTCTAGGACTGAGCAAATAAGTAAATAAATACATTGTGGATAATGAGAGTTTGGCTTCTTATTCTCATAAAAAGAAGTTACAAATATGAAAAGGATGAAGGCTTGGAATTAGAGCTAACCGTAGGAGCTCAGTTCTTAATATAAAGATGCAGAAATAGACATAAATGTGTGTGTAAATATACCTACACACATATATATATTCCGTAGCTCTGTCTGCTGAGGAGGCCTAGAAGCAATGACACTCCAACATCCCACCAGGACAGCTAGTGCACCAATAAAAGGAAACAGCTTCCTCAGAGAAATGGCTGATTCCCAGGCAAGAGCAAGGAAAAGTACCATATGAGCCCAGGATATACTTTTGTGGTGCCAGAAAGGCTGGTAATGCTCAAAGAATGACAGGAGCGTGTCTGAAGGACACAGGAGTCTCTTCTGGTCAAATGAGAAACAACTAAACAAAATAAATGAAAATAGTAGATTATAAACCATAGAATAAAATAAAAACACACCAGTCCTTACTTACATAAATAAATGAGGGGAGAAGGAAAAGCTCTTTCTGAGAGTATAATTCCAAATAATAAATGTAGTGATGGAATTAGAAAATCACCATTTGGCAACCACCCTGGTAATAATTATTTCAGGCAAGTATCATCAACATATGCTGAAACTAGTGGTTTAAGGTTTGATGGAAAACAGGATATTATCTAGTCTCAAAGTAGCTCCACTACAAAATAGCCACTAATTAAAAGGGGAAAAATAGTAATTTCATAGTGAAGAATCCTGCCAGGCACCACCTTAATTAAGTGATCAAAGTTAACATTGTCAATAACAGAACAAGTCAACATCATATGCCTTCTGATAGGATACAACACAATGTCACTTCTGTGGCATTCCTTCCAAAAAGGTAAAACAGACAAGCCCAAACTGAAGGACATTCTACTAAGTAACTGTCCTGTAATCTTTAAAAATGTCTAAGTTGGGCGCCTGGGTGGCTCAGTTGGTTAAGCGACTGCCTTCGGCTCAGGTCATGATCCTGGAGTCCCTGGATCGAGTCCCACGTCGGGCTCCCTG